GGGCAGAGTCCCTGTCCTCTGATTTGGACTACAGGGATACCAACAGACTGATAGACGGAGAGAGATGCTGTAGTCTCGAACTGATTCCTGCAAACACACACTGAGGTAGACTGTGGCCAAACACAGAAAATACAACTACCAACTCCTTTTCACATTTATAGCTCTACTCTTTTTTTTTTTTTTTTTTTTTTTACCTGACTTTCAATATTTAAAACACTTTGACAAAAAAGCTAACTGTGATTTTTGTACAATGATAATAAAATAAATAAAATATGAAATATCTGTAATTTTTCAAAGATGATGGTGATCTTCTGAATAAAAAATTGCTTACACTTGTATACACCGCCATAAAGAGACAATGGTAATATGTAGAGATAGAGATCCACCATTTATCTCTCGTTATGGGCATGTACTGTATGCACAGTTGAAAGGGAGGTTTCCCACTTTTCCTTTCTTTTTTACCGGACACTATATTCTTTAGTATTTATAAAGTAAAAAAGTATGAGAGTGTAACTGATTGAGGGAAAAAAACATTTTGGGGGGCATTCGAGTAACATCTAGAATTGGAGTAGATCAAATTCTCAAGAATCAGCGAAAACCAAAAAGGTGTTTTAACACTGTTTAAACTTTGAACACCATAGCACTAAGTGGACTTGCCATTTAACCCTTACAACAACAGACCAAAAACTAGCCCACTAGCCCACAAGCTGATGTTCCCCATAGAAACAGATTGATGTAATTTAAGTAGCAACTGTCATATATCTTTCAACATCTCTAAATACCTCGTCATCTCTAAATTCTACTTGAGATTTACGGTATGGATTTAGCTCCCATCGACAAGTGATATTTCTCTCCCTCTGTCTAACATGTATAAATACACACACACACACACACACACACACACACACACACACAGTGTAGCTACACGCATTAGCATGAGTATGTGCCAACAAACAAACAGTAACCAGCCTGTACAATGTACATCCATCTCTCTGGTCTGTGGTTGGTTGAGAAGGCACTGGGTGGAGGATGATGCGGTTCCGCCATCTCAGATACAGACAGACATACAGTGGTTTGCGAAAGTATTCACCCCCCTTGGCATTTTTCCTATTTTGTTGCCTTAAAACCTGGAATTAAAATGGCTTTTTGGGGGCTTTGTATAATTTGATTTACACAACATGCCTACCACTTTGAAGATGCAAATTTTTTTTATTGTGAAACAAACAAGAAATAAGACAAAAAAACTGAACTTGAGCGTGCATAACTATTCACTCCCCCAAAGTCAATAATTTGTAGAGCCACCTTTTGCAGCAATTACAGCTGCAAGTCTCTTGGGGTATGTCTCTATAAGCTTGGCACATCTAGCCACTGGGATTTTTGACCATTCTTCAAAGCAAAACTGCTCCAGCTCCTTCAAGTTGGATGGGTTCTGCTGGTGTACAGCAATCTTTAAGTCATACCACAGATTGGATTGAGGTCTGGGCTTTGACCAGAGTACCTTCTTCCATATGTTTGGGGAGTCTCCCACATGCCTTTTGGCAAACACCAAACGTGTTTGCTTATTTTTTTCTTTAAGCAATGGCTTTTTCTGGCCACTCTTCCGTAAAGCCCAGCTCTGTGGAGTGTACGGCTTAAAGTGGTCCTATGGACAGATACTCCAATCTCCGCTGTGGAGCTTTGCAGCTCCTTCAGGGTTATCTTTGGTCTCTTTGTTGCCGCTCTGATTAATGCCCTCCTTGCCTGGTCCGTGAGTTTTGGTGGGCGGCCCTCTCTTGGCAGGTTTGTTGTGGTGCCATATTCTTTCAATTTTTTAATAAAGGATTTAATGGTGCTCCGTGGGGATGTTCAAAGTTTCTGATATTTTTTTATATCCCAACCCTGATCTGTATTTTCCACAACTTTGTCCCTGACCTGTTTGGAGAGCTCCTTGGTCTTCATGGTGCCGCTTGCTTGGTGGTGCCCCTTGCTTAGTGGTGTTGCAGACTCTGGGGCCTTTCAGAACAGGTGTATATATACTGAGATCATGTGACACTTAGATTGCACACAGGTGGACTGTATTTAACTAATTATGTGACTTCTGAAGGTAATTGGTTGCACCAGATCTTACGTAGGGGCTTCATTGCAAAGGGGGTGAATACATATGCACGCACCACTTTTCCATTATTTATTTTTTAGAATTTTCTGAAACAAGTAATTTTTTTCATTTCACTTCACCTATTTGGACTATTTTGTTTGTTTATGTCCATTACATGAAATCCAAATAAAAATCTATTTAAATTACAGGTTGTAAAGCAACAAAATAGGAAAAATGCCAAGGGGGATGAATACTTTTGCAAGGCACTGTACAGAGATAGAGGGGTAAACAGTGATAACTGGGAGATGATGAATGGGCAGGTTAGGGTTAATAACACCAGGCCTATAACTGTAAGCTCTAAACAGCCACACAGGCTCAAACTGCTGAGTGGACGCAGGTCAGATTTACTTACCCTTAGCTCCTGTCTGTGCTTTTCTGTCCCTTATCAATGCTTCTGACAATAGACAATGAGTACCGCTGCCTTTGGCTAGAGGGTTAATGGGACAAATAGAGATGTGTGTGTGAACTACTAATGATTGGACTATTTGTACTTCTCAATGGGAATGCCTTGTAGACACTTTTCAATCAATCTTTATGTAGTTAACACCAATTTGTGATTTGCGCCACATACAATGTGCGTGTGTGTGTGTACTTTAAAAACAATCAGGGCTTTGTCTTGTGCTGGGAAGAAGCTGACAGGAATGTTTAAATGTCTGTATGGAACATAATAATATGACTGTAAATGGACAGAGGTTTACACTTTCATGACCCATCTTTAGATATTGGAGTGATGGGTTACAATCCAAATTGTGGGGAGGGGTACACCACAATCCAAACGGGAGGGTGTGGGATTGAAAGAAACCCAAATCAAAGGCGGGGGGAAATAAGTTCAATTTCTTTTTCTTTAGGGTAGGAGGGAGAAGGGGTTATGAATAACGAGCACACAGCAAGTCCGAACACGGACTCCACCGCCAATAGTAGAATGTCACCTCAGCCCTGGGGGTTAGGGTTAGGGTTAGGGTTACACCCCCCCCCCCCCCCCCCCCCCCCCCCCCCCCCCGTAACACCCCCTCCCTCCTTAGTACACACACACACACCTTCATCTAACTGCTCCCTCCCTCCCTCTCTCTCGCTGCTGCTGCTGCCGCCCGCTATGAACTCTGAATGCAATAGGAACTTTCCGGAATGTTCGAATCAAAAGCATTCAACCACAGTAACATGGAAAATTCCACCAGCAGCCTGATTCTGACCTCCTTCCTGTGTCAGTGAACAGTACAGCCAATGGGCTGTCATTATATGGGGAGGCGGCGAAGGGTGGTGGTAGGGTCAATAACAAACCCAGTTGTATGAGGACAAGGGGGTTGTGATGCTAGCCACTCATATAAAGCACTGCAGTATATCTCTCTCAAAGTCCTGATGCTATGTGGTCCTGCAATACATCCACCTATATGGGCTTCTGACTCAATCTCCAGCGGAGGAGATGGAGAGCTAGATCGATCTCCTCTGACCCTACTATAACCCTATTAACACCACTACCAACAGCACAAGCCAAGACAGTGAAGTACAATCATCAGGCCAAGACAAACTGTCTGTCCAAGCAAGCAGACATCACATCTCTAGCCCCACCGATAACATCAATCAATCAAACAGATAGCTAATGATCAACCAAAGATAGACACATTTTAACACAATCACATAAATGTTAAACAATAGATAACAACATGGACGTCTACACCATGGCTCCATCAGACCAAGGCACCATTCATTCCCATTTCAGTTTTTGGTAATTGTCGTTCTAGCATAGTGGCCACCCAAACTCTTCCAATGACAGGAAGAACAATATTTGAAAGATGCCGTGATTTTTCTAAAATAGTGGGCTGCCCTTTGTTGCTGAGGAGAACAGGGTTCTCCTGAGGGTTTGAAAGAGAAGTAAAACCACGTGTGGAGGTCTAAGACACAACAGAGCACTGGCGGCCGATTAGTGTGATATCTGGGGTTAGAAAAAATATATATAAAAAAAGAGACTGACAAAAAAAAAACATCTTACCAGCAAAGCCTCTGATGAAAACATTACAAATATGAACTATGTACAAAAAAATCAATATTGTATATATTCTATATAAAATATTGATATAAATACCAATATTCCATATATACTATATATATTATATATATTCTATACCCACTAAAATATATGAAAGCAGCAGCTATTGGTCAGTCTGAGGAACTATTTTGTCCAACTTTTAACTGTTTAAATATCCTTCAGCCATAATGTGAGGACACAGAAATAAAACTGAAAGAGAACAGAGACAAAAAAAAAAGCGAATAAATTAGAACTATTCACTAAACACCAAAATAATCTCTGTAAAGTTTGGAATTCTGCACAAAACAAATAAATAAAACGTTTTCCTCTACGAATGGACATTTGTTCTAGAGAGTCTTTGCCATCCCATGGTTCAAAACTGTTTAGTCATTGTTCAAAGGAAATTAATACAAGCATTGATAGACACTTCTCTTTGTTTACAGGCCACGTATAAAAAGGCCACTATCTGAAAAGGTTTTCACTTGAAAAACAAAACAAGAGAATGGAAGAGATGGGACAGCCTGGAGAAAAAGAGAGAAGGAGAGAAATAAGAATGTTCACAGTTTTTTTTCTTTTTCCATCAACCAGTCCTGGAAACTTGGCAATAGTGAAAACAAAATAAAGATAGTAGAAAGTTGTAGTAGATGATTCTGGATAAATGGAAAAATGTCTTTCAACATATACCAAAATGTTTGCATCCCGTGTTCCACCATGCTTGGCAGCTGTGGGGAAGAAAATACATGTCCTGAGATCAGTTTTTTTGAAGGGCTTCTGCCTTAAAATAGTTTGAAAGCATATAATGAAGGGGTGAAAAGAGGAGGAGGAAAACCTTAGGAAATGTTAGGAAGGGCTGGATCTGGGTAATGATAAGATTCGTCCGTTTTTCTTGCCACCGTTCATGTGCGTGTAGGGCACGTGTTCCTCGTAGTTGCCCCTTAGGCTCTGGCTGGGTCCATTGTCTCTGGATAGACTGTCGCTGTCGTCTCTCTGGGAGTAGGATGACGGGTCCAGTGGGATGCTCTCCATGTTCTCCAGGTCCAAGTCAAACTCCTCTGTCTCGGGGAGCTTGTTCTCCTCGCTGTAGAAGAAGGAGACCTCCTGGAAGCTGGGGTGAACGTCCTCCTTCAACATCTCGATGATCTCCTGGAAGGTGGGACGCATCTTGGGGTTGTACTGCCAGCACATCGTCATCAGGTTGTGGCTGAGGGAGGAGAAGAGGGAGAAAGATGAATGAATGAGAGAAAGAGAATCTACGGGCTCTATCCACAAGCAGCTCACCTCTGTTGGTCCCCATTGAAGCAAAACTAGCCGTAGGAATACTGTAGGCATGTTGTAGTGTTAACTCAAACGCTTAACCAAGTCAAAATATATACCTCATGTACTTTGTATGGTTGGTACGGCATATCAATGTAAAAGACTACAGATCCCACAATGCATTAAAAGTATACAGTGTTTGAGACACTTACATCCTCTCAATACAGTTCTCTGGTCTGTCCAGGTATCCTCCGTCCATGACGAACTTGAGGACCTGTTCGTTGGACAGGCCCTGGTAAGGCTGCTCTGCTAGGGTGCTGACCTCCCACAACACCACACCAAACGACCTGGGGACAGACATGTACAACACATTATTATCTCAAGCCAAAAACAATAAAAGGATGTGAATAATGAAATAAAGGACTAGTGCCCTCAAATTGAAATCTGGACATCAAAGCCAGTTCCACTGCCCTTTTCATTATTCACCACTAATAAGGGACTGATTTAGACCTGGGACACCAGCTGGGTGCAATTAATTATCAGGTAGAACAGAAAACCATCAGTAGTCTGGATCCACGTCGGCTGTAGGGTAAGATTGAAATACCCCTAGACTAGTGTAACAACTGAAAAAAAAAAAAGTGGTTATAGAGTTACTGTAGAAATTAAGAGGTTAAGACGGGGGGAGTGGAGAAAGATATTCTTCTCTCAAAAAATAGGTTAAAGAGATTGAATAGAGTGGAATAAAAAGATTGAGCAGAAAGGCCCATCTGACATCCGTGGCAGCCAGGTGTGTCCTGCTGTACTCACCAGCAGTCTGAATGTGCGGTGAACACTCCGTCCTTCAGAGACTCAGGAGCCATCCACCTGACAGGAAGCAGACCCTTCCCTCCCTTACGGTAGTAATCCGTCTCATATATGTCTCTGGTCATTCCAAAGTCTAAGGGGATGGAGAGGAACAGTTAAAAGACAACCTACAGTAAATAGCATCATCACATCATAACCCTAACCTAATCCTTCCTGTAGTAGTCTGTCTCATTGATGTCTCTGGTCATGCCAAAATCTGGGAGACAGTCATACATCAACCATAGACACACGAGACACAGTCGTTATGAACCCAAGGCTCACACACAGTCATGATTTACTTGTTGAAACTGTAACACCACAGAAAGAATCACATGCACTCTTTTATTCTACTGTACTCTACCTCCGATCTTGACGGTGTTGTCCTCAGCCACCATGCAGTTCCTGGCGGCCAGATCTCTGTGGACAAACTTTTTGGCGTTGAGGTAGGCCATGCCGTCTGCTATCTCCCCCGCCATCTGAATCATCTCCTTCAGTGTGGGAGGGGGTTTCCCTGTGGGGTTATTCTCAGAGTCTGGTCGGAGGCAGCGTAGGAAGCTCTTCAGATCCCCGTGGGTCATCAGCTCCATCACCACCAGAGTGGGCTGGCCTTTAGACACCACCCCCAGCAGACGCACCTACAGACAGAGAGAGAGCAGGGAGAGTTAGGACCATTGAGATATTATACATTTCTCTATATAAAAACTTGAGAAAATCTACTCAATTTAAACGTATTCCAATGCATGGCACGTACGGCCATGAAACAGTTTCTGTATGTCTCCATCTTGCTGAAAACTATCAATCTACAGTACAGCGTATCCACCCTGTCAACCTTCATTCTCAGTCATCATACCCAGATAATAACAAGGTAATAGCTACTGGTTAGTAATGAAAGTGAATGAATAAGCTCCTAACCACGTGGTGGCAGCTGAAGGCCTTCATGACAGACGCTTCGTTGAGAAACTCTATCCTCTCTCTCAGACTGGCCGACTCGTTGACCGTCTTCACCGCCACGCGTGTGTCCGGCTCGCCCTTCACGATGTCTTTGGCGATGCCCTCGTAGACCATGCCAAACGAGCCCTGACCCAGCTCCTTCAGGATGTTGATCTTCTCCCTCGCCACCTCCCAGTCATCAGGCACGTACACTACACAATACAAAAGAAGAAAGTTGTCCTTTTAGTACACACTTTTTTTTGTATTACCGTAATTTTCGGACTATAAGCAGCGCCTTTTTTCCCATTTTTCGACCCTGCGGCTTATATAACGGTGCGGCTAATCTATGGATTTTTACAGCTAACGGCCACTAGAAGACCTCCTAAATCTATGGATTTTACAGGTTACAGTCCACCAACTTTAACTCTATGGGCTCTATGACCGGTCCGCGCCCCCCACCTTTAAGCGGCGGGCTCCAGCAGGAAAAGCTGGAGGCCGGAAAAGAGTGAGACAGGTAGCGCGCAAAAGTAAAAGTGGAACCGAGAGTGGTACAAGAGACAGAACGAGAGACAGAACGAGAGCAAGACAGACAGACATTACGAGAGCGAGACAGTTTGTGCAAAGGAAGTTTTCATGCACAAACCCTCATTATGGAAAACAAACGTAGAAATGCATATGATGCAGCTTTTAAGTTAAAGGCAGTCAATCTGGCTGTAAAAGAAGGAAATAGAGCTGCTGCACGTAGCCTTGGCATCAATGGTGAGACGTTGGAGACGCCAGCGGGAAGAACTGTCTCAATGCAAAAAGTCAAAAAAAGCTTTCAGAGGTAATAAAAGCAGATGGCCCGAACTTGAAGACTTTCTTGAAGATTGGGTGAACACACAGAGAGCAGACGGCCGAGGTGTTTCCACCGTGCAGATCCAACTGAAAGCTGAAACAGTCGCCACCGAAATGAAAATTGAACATTTTAGAGGTGTACCATCCTGGTGTTTCAGATTTATGAGACGAAAGAGACTCTCCATCAGGGCGCGGACGACTGTGTGTCAGCAACTCCCTCCCGACTACCAGGAAAAAATAACAAACTTCGGCGAATTCACACAAAGAAAGATAGAGGAATATTCCATCGGACCGGACCAGATCATAAACAGTTTACACAGCACAGTATATGTTCAATTTGTAAGTCGCTCTGGATAAGAGCGTCTGCTAAATGACGTAAATGTAAATGTAAATGTAGCTACTATTGCACTAAATGGTAACACTTGAATACGTTATGCAAATATGCAACTTGTTTGTTGAAATGTTAATAAATGGGAGCTTCCTCAAGCAGCCATCTCTTTCCCGACAATCCCCTCTGTGCACGAATCCTTACATATGGTAATTAAACATTAAAACACCTGCGGCTTATAGTCCAGTGCGGCTTATATATGTACACATCATTCAATTTAGCTGCTGCGGCTTATACTCCGGTGCACCTTATAGTGCGGAAAATACGGTACACTGTTTTTAGCATGTACACTATCTCACAGTAAAACAAACTTGCAAAAATAGTTTGAGGTGTGGGGTTGGTTGTCCTTACCGTCATTAGCGCTCAGGTACTCTGGGTTGGACGAGGCGATCAGAGGTCCAGTGGGTCCCTCAGTTTGTCTGGAACACACAGTCCTTGCATATTTAATTTGTCTATTTGTCTTGCCAGGCTGTCATTGTAAATAAAACAATTAGACCAAAAATCGAAAATCAATCAATTCTTACTTCTTCTTGAAGATCATGAAGACTCCGCCTCCTACGAATAGCAGCAGGATAAAGCAGATGACTGGGCCAATGATAATCTTCAGTGAACTGGTGTCCTCTGCAACAAACACAGCAGCCATTGGTCAGTAATTTACATTTGAGTCATTTAGCAGACGCTCTTATTCAGAGCAACTTACAGGAGCAATTAGGTTTAAAGTGCCTTGCTACCCTAGTCGACTCAGGGATTCGAACCAGCGACCTTTTGGTTATTGGCCCAACACTCTTAACCTCTAAGCTACCTGCCGACCCAGTCACTCTCATAGAAACATGAACTGGTCAAATGTGTTCCAGAAAGTGTAAGCAGGTCCAGTGCCCATTGGAGCATGCAGGCATGACTTACCATCGGGCATGAAGAAGAAGGTGGGTTCGGTCCAGGAGCCGTTTCCTGCCAGCGACGTGGCACGGATCCTCACGGTGTAGTTCCCAGGATGCACCACTCTCAGCCTGCAGCCTCCAATCTGGGTGTAAGTCTTCCTGGACACGCAGTGATGCAGCTCCTGGAACACATTATTATTACATGGTTATAGAGTGGTTATAATAAGGTTACATCATGGTTATAGCATGGTTATTCCACTAAGTCACACATAAGGCTTTGTATAAACAGTGTGACTGTGAACACCAGAGTTTATAATACAAATGTGTGTATTTCCCTGAGGCTTCTCCTCAACAACAAAGTAGGTGCCTGTGAATCAAACAGCTTTTAACCTAGCATACTAGCACTCAAGCTTGTAAATTATTTTATTTACATAAAACAAAAACAAAAAAAGCATATCTTGTTATCGCTCACACTGAAATATTTGAAATAGCTTCCTTTAACCCCTTACACTCCTGGAAATTGGATATGGATAGGGCCAAATTGTAATGTTTCTAACAGAAGAACTATAAAAAGCATATGCATGACTATGGTAGCAATTTAAATAGAACACTTTGGAGATAATCAGACCAAAGGCGAGGACACAATTGTTCCAAACATTACACTGTTGATTTTATTAGCATTTTACATTTTCTGTACTTTTCACAGTATTTGTCAATAAGGAAATCTGAAAATACTCTGGATACATTCAGTAACATATTCTTCGAAATGTTGGAATAGGTACAAAATAAGAAAAATAATTAAAAAGGGGTTGAGTGAGAGGTCTAACTGGTGTCTCCAAGTGGCCACACACCTCTCAAAAACTGTGCACAGTTCCTAAGTAATTTAGGATTACTGTTGTTGTTTACGCAATCCAAAAACGTTCTATTATAAATCGCAATCTGGGTCAGGTGGGCATCACGTTGAAAGCTTATTATTTTACCAACATGGCTAGCTAACTTATAAAATACGATCTTACAGTGTTAGGCTTTCAAAAGGAACTTCATACAAACAGATTGTAATTTTGGTACGCATAGAATGGAGTCCTGAATGCATTCAAGTGCCTGTTCTGCGTCAAATGTTCTTCACAATACAACAAACATTCTGTTCAGGACAACCCAGTGTATAACGCATGTCATCCTTGTAACTGTGGATCAAACATAGCGATCATAAACATTGATACTGTACATGACATGAGTTTTCAAATATGGAAATGTGAAGTACACAATTGGACTCATGGGTGTGTGGTTAGCTTGTATGACATCGAAACTGTATTTATTATATTCCTCAACGTCTCATCTTGCAGAACACATCGACTCCTCTCGATTTACAGCATTTCCCTCACTCAGACAACAACAAATGTAAAAGTAGCCCAACTAGCGGGTGGAATAGGGATATCTTCTTGTCGCACACGGTGCTCAAGTTTATAATGTCTGTCCGTCAAAACCTGCGAACAGTGAACTGCGCTGTGAACCTGGAGAACCTGCGCTCTGACGTCATGTTTAGCATGTTACTGTGTAGTCACTGGGTTCCAATTTAGGCGTTTATCAATGACAAAATCTGCCATTTTCAACCCGTATACAGGATGACAGGGGCTGTGAGTGGAACGGGTTAAGCCACTGAGTGTCAGTAAAAAGACCAACACATTGTTATTACAAAGCAACCAAAGCTCTTCATTCTTTGGTTACTGAGATATCTATTTGATTACACGAGCAGACAGAGGCACAGGGAGCTTCCTGCTCTCCCTCAGATTGGGGAGAGGGGGGGTGGGGGATGCAGGGGGGGAGCACACTGTCTCTTCCACCTCATTCTAGTCTGTTCCTGTTTCTATCTCTGTCTCTCCCCCCCCCCCCCCCCCCCCCCACCGGGTCAGGCAGTGCAGTAGTGAATAGCAATGAGTGATGAGTCCACACATTCATCACAGCAATGAACACACACACACACACACAAACACCAATGTATAAGGGGTGACAGTCAGGACTATAGACAGATCATTGATTTCCTTTAATGGTTGTGGTTGCTTTTCAGCATAAGGAACAACACCATGTTTATGAGCCTGGACAATATGGTTGAAAAAGGATGAGCAAAGATCAAATTCAGACTGTAGCTACCATGTATACAAGTAATAAATTAATAATAATAAATTCTGTAGACTCAAAAACAAGAAAGAGCAAAGGGGAAATCGATTGATAGGAACACAGTTAAGTTATTTCATCCTAGTATTCATACTAACCTCAAGGTCTCCCAACCTCTTGTAGTTGACTTCGTACAGGATGATCATGCCATTGGGGGCTTTGGGCTCCAGCCACTTGATGTGGACAGAGTCTGGGTGCTCCGACACCATCTCATGGGTCACCTGGCCCACAATGTCATCAGCTTTCTCTGCAGGGAGCGGAGCAGAACACAGGAAGAACCATCAGCAAGGGCAACATGAAAGAAGAATTAAGTGTGTCTATACTGTGTGGTGTACAAACATGCATAATGTTACTCGCAGACAAGCTGTCGTTTATTAGTGTGGGTCTGACTCCGTGTATAGCCTTACTCTCAGGCATGGTGCGGGCGCTGACGTAGGTAGCCATGCTGCAGCGTTGAGGGTCTGTGGGGTGGTTGCAGGCATGGATCTCTATCTGGTAGCTGGTGAAGTGGCGCAGGTTGGAGATGACCGTCGACTCCTTGGCGTACACCACCAGCGTCACCTTGGAGCCCTCCGCCCCCTCGCCCTCTGGGCTGGGCGTGGTGGACGCGTTGGGCAGCGTGGGGGGAGTGGTCAGGAAGCGCGGAAGGGTGGCGTTGGCCACGCCCACTGAGCGGCGCCGACGAGACGGTCTGATGGAGAAAGGGGGAGGAGAGAGTGAGGAGGGAGAGTAGAGGACAGGAGAAGGAGATGAGAAGCCAGGTGAGATGAGGCGTATTATGGTAACAAAGAGCTAAGACGACAAATTTGTCAGCGGAAGTCATTATGAACAAACTTTCACAATAACCAATAACCTGGTTGTCCTATACTGGGACTTACCTACCTACCTACCGACCTACCTACCATATAGATCTCTGCTGAAGATCAATGTTAGTTACTCCAACCAAGAAACCCATTGTATCTACCCAACACAGCCCACAACACCTAAATCACAGGTGTTTGACCAATTACATTCATGGTCTTCCTATTCTCCATGCAGGGTTAGGTGAAGATAATGGTAAGCAGTCCTGTTCTCTGGTCACAGTTAACTCAGCTATGCTGCCTGACCTTTAAAACAAAAAACATCTCCTCTACACCCATCACCACTAGATGGAGCACCGGAGCCTTCAGCTAGCCTAGCATCCAGACGTCACTGGGTTTGTTTACATCGGAGTTGAGTACAGACTGAGAAGTGCTGGGAACAGAACAGGGAGAGGCTGATGGAGAGAGTAGCTTGCTACATTATGGTCCTGCTGCTACAGAGAGTAGTAGAGGGAAGATCCAACTTCCCTCTGGGTCAGAAATCTGCGTTGTGTTTTTTTCTCTTTCTAATGGTTGAGGTTCAAATTGAGGGATGTTAATCTGACCTTGGATCAGATCCCGTGGTTAGACTAAGGCAACTTCTTCCTCAGCAGGCACGGTGACAGCTGCATGGAGGGGCTCTATCTATCTGTCTAACAGTGAGTCTTCAGAACGCTGGCTGCCTGGCTGGACCCACAGTGATGATGTCACAGGCCTACCTAGATCTAATTACAGGCTCTCTTTGACAGAGTGCTTGCTGCCTGGTGATGCACAGACAGACAGCAGAACTGAACATACTCACCCATCACAGCCATGTCACTACACTGCACTACCAGAGAAATACAGACAGTCAGTAGAACAATAGACAGAAATCCACTAACTGGAGTCAACCAAAATGGCAGCAAAAAACAGAACTAGCCAGGTCTGAACCAGGTCTGGACTGGGTCACGGTGGGTTCCAGACAGTCCATTCATTCACATGGTCCTCTGTAGCTCAGTTGGTAGAGCATGTCGCTTGCAACATCAGGATAGTGGGTTAGAGTCCCGGGACCACCTATACGTAAAATGTATGCACGCATGACTATAAGTATTTTGGGATAAAAGCATCTGCTAAATGGTATATATTATTCCCTCTACTGTTGTCTCTCTCTGCCAGTCATAGCAGCACCAGTAGGGTTTAGAGGGGATGAGGGGAATGAGGAGATAACTAGGCATGATGATGACACCAGCCATACTGGATCACCCCAGGTAGAGACAGGTTAACATACTGTGAGAAGGAAGTCTGAGTGACTGTTTCAGCCCAATACCTTCATAAGAGAAGGTGGGAAAGCCATTAAGTTGTGGTGCCATTTCCAAGGCAGGGGTAGCTGTGTTTTACGTTAAGGGATTACAGTGGAGAGACAGAGTGTCTATGTGGTCCTGTCATTGCGTGACGGAGAGGAGATACAGGAGGCATACAGGATTGTCACTCACTAGGCTGTCACTGTTGTGTGTCTGAACTCCTTGTTCACTAGGCTGTCACTGTTGTGTGTCTGAACTCCTTGTTCACTAGGCTGCACTGTTGTGTTTCTGAACGCTTTGTTCACGAGGCTGTCATTGTTGTGTTTCTGAAGGCCTTGTTCACTAGGCTGTCACACACACCACACACAGGGTCGGGCTAGCTGGATGGCACGCTAGAACACACACACACATGCACACGCACACGCACACACACACGCACTGTATAATCCGGGGACAAACAAAGGGAGAGCAGGGCCCCTGCCTGTGAGGCTGTGCTGTGATGGAAGGAGCACAATGTTCCTGTGACCATGTGAATAACAGCTACAGGGTCACTCTCAGTCAGGGCTCAGACACCCTAACCAGCTACTAGACTACAGCTTGCCCAGCCAGCCTAGCAGTTAGCATAATTACCCTCGCCTCAGCAACTTATGCATTACACAAATGCCTTCCTATGGTTAAAAGGGGAAAGTGTGTGTATGTCACAGTGTGTGTGTGTGTGTCTATTTATGTGTGTGTGTCACAGTGTGTGTGTGTCAGCCCAGGGGCCTCTCATGTCAGTCAACAGTGCATCTGAAAGCCAGCTCTGCTTGCTATTCCACCTGCCAAATCAAATCAAATCAATGTTATTCGTCAAATGCGCCGAATACAACAGGTGTAGACCTTACAGTGAAATGCTTACTTACAAGCCCTTAACCAAAAATGCTGTTTTAAGAAAGAATACCCCCCCCAAAAAATGAATTAAAGAGCAGCAGTAAAATAACAATAGTAAAATAACAGTAGCGAGGCTATATACAGGGGGTACCAGCACAGAGTAGTCGAGGTAATATGTACATGTAGGTAGAGTTATTAAAGTGACTATGCATAGATAATAAACAGAGAGTAGCAGCAGCTTAAAAGAGGGGGTGGGGGTGGGGGGGGCAAAGCAAATAGTCTGGGTAGTCATTATTATTAGATGTTCAGTAGTCTTATGGCTTGAGGGTAGAAGCTGTTTAGAAACCTCCTCCCTATAGGCTGTCTCGTCATTGTCGGTGATCAGGCCTACCACCGTTGTGTCATCGGCAAACTTAATGATGGTGTTGGAGTCGTGCCTGGCCATGCAGTCATGAGAGAACAGGGAGTACAGGAGGGGACTGAGCACGCACCCCTGAGGGGCCCCCGTGTTGAGGATCAGCGTGGCAGATGTGTTGTTACCTACCCTTACCACCTGGGGGCAGCCCGTCAGGAAGTTCGGGATCCAGTTGCAGAGGGAGGTGTTTAGTCCCAGGGTCCTTAGCTTGGTGATGAGCTTTGAGGGCACTATGGTGTTCTCACATAGATGTTCCTTTTGTCCAGGTGTGAAAGGGCAGTGTGGAGTGCAATAGAGATTGCATCATCTGTGGATCTGTTGGGGCTGTATGCAAATTGACTGGGTCTAGGGTTTCTGGGATAATGGTGTTGATGTGAGCCATGACCAGCCTTTCAAAGCACTTCATGGCTATAGATGTGAGTGCTACGGGTCGGTAGTCATTTAGGCAGGTAACCTTAGTGTTCTTGGGCACAGGGACTGCTTGAAACATGTTGGTATTACAGACTCAGACAGGGAGAGGTTGAAAATGTCAGTGAAGACACAGCGCATGCTCGGAGTACACGTCCTGGTAATCCGTCTGGCCCTGCAGCCTTGTGAATGTTGACATGTTTAAAGGTCTTACTCACATCGGCTATGGAGAGCGTGATCACACAGTCGTCCGGAACAGTTGATGCGCTCATGCATGTTTCAGTGTTACTTGCCTCAAAGCAAGCATAGAAGTAATTTAGCTCATCTGGTAGGCTCGTGTCACTGGGAACCTTGTGGCTGTGCTTCCCTTTGAAGTCTGTAATAGTTTGCAAGCCCTGCCACATCCGATGAGCGTCGGAGCCGGTGTAGTACGATTCGATCTTTGTCCTGTATTGACGCTTTGCCTGTTTGATGGTTCGTCGGAGGGCATAGCGGTATTTCTCATTCGGGACTCGGTGCGGATGTTGCCTGTAATCCATGGCTTCTGGTTAGGGTATGTAAGTACAGTCACTGTGGGGACGATGTCATCGATTGACTTATTGATGAAGCCAGTGACTGATGTGGTGTACTCCTCAATACAATCGGAAGAATCCCGGAACATATTCCAGTCTCTGCTAGCAAAACAGTCTTGTAGCTTAGCATCTGCTTCATCTGACCACTTTTTTTATTGACTGAGTCACTGGTGCTTCCTGCTTTAGTTTTTGCTTGTAAGCAGGAATCAGGATGATATAATTATGGTCAGATTTGCCAAATGGAGGGCGAGGGAGAGCTTTGTATGCGTCTCTGTGTGTGGAGTAAAGGTGGTCTAGAGTTTTTTTCCCTCTAGTTACAAATTTAACATGCGGGTAGAAATTAGGTAAAAGTTTCCGGCTACTAGGAGCGCCGCCTCTTGATGAGCGTTTTCCTGTTTGCTTATGGCTGTATACAGCTCATTGAGTGCGGTCTTAGTGCCAGCATCGGTTTGTGGTGGTAAATAGACAGCTACGAAAAATATAGATGGAAACTCTTGGTAGATAGTGCGGTCTACAGCTTATCCTGATATACTCTACCTTAGGCGAGCAAAACCTCGAGACTTCCTTAGATGTCGTGCACTAGCTGTTGTTGTTTTTTTTAGGGGGTAGATCAGCTTTAATATTGCAGATAGATTGTAACTTCCATCAATGTAATTGTCTGCATCACTTCCAATCCCCCATATGTTTTTTTTCCTGTTTTTTCCTTGCATATATATACACATTATCTCACAAAAGGGAGTACACCCCTCACATTTTTGTAAATATTAGAGTATATCTTTTCATGTGACAACACTGAAGAAATGACACATTGCTACAATGTAAAGTAGTGAGTGTACAGCTTGTATAACAGTGTACATTTGCTGTCCCCTCAAAATAACACAACACACAGCCATTAATGTCTAAACCGCTGGCAACAAAAGTGAGTACACCTCTAAGTGAAAATGTCCAAATTGGGCCCAAAGTGTCAATATTTTGTGTGGCCACCATCATCTTCCAGCACTGCCTTAACCCTCTTGGGCATGGAGTTCACCAGAGCTTCACAGGTTGCCACTGGAGTCCTCTTCCACTCCTCCATGACGACATCACGGAGCTGGTGGATGTTATAGACCTTGCACTCCTCTACCTTCTGTTTGAGGATGCTCCACAGATGCTCAATAGGGTTTAGATCTGGAGACATGCTTGGCCAGTCCATCACCTTTACCCTCAGCTTCTTTAGCAAGGCAGTGGTCGTCTTGGAGTTGTGTTTGGGGTCGTTATCATGTTGGAATATTGCCCTGCGGCCCAGTCTCCGAAGGGAGGGGATCAT